CGAAGGATAATTAGAATGTACTGCTGTCAACAGATACTTGGACAGAATGGTAAATTGCATAAGGAACGTGTTATTTATACATTTTTTTTTACTTTTCAAGCACTTGTTGTTAATTTCTATAATTTGATTTGATTTTCTTTAATTTATCAAACTGGACTGCAAAATTTTGTAAGAGTGTATGAAAAGTAAAATGGGGTGTGTGAATATCACACCTCATTGCATAATTAGTGTGGATAAACATTGAAGGGTATTTTTGTCGGGCTGTAAACTCATAAGAAAAACTTGTATAGTGTGTCTGCTTGAAACCTTTTATAAAAGTATGAGATTTATTTTAGGGAACTTTAACGAAAAGCACCCGGTACTGTTCACTTTAACGAAAAACCACATTTTTACACTAAAAAGTCAATCTTGGTACTATTCATTTTACCCTTTATTTTGTACTTATCATTAAAACTCAAAGTTTTCAAGCCCTTTTAATTAGTTTTCCTTTTATTTTATTGTGATTACTTACGTTGTGATTCACCAAATTTCCCGCATCTTCATTTTATATGAGAATTGTCTCAATTAGACAATTATACTGAATATCTTTAAATTTTGTGGTCATAATATAATATCGGATCATTAATTATGCAATTGAATCCACACGTTTCCACTCAACAAGGGGATCTGACTTCACTTACAAAAGCATGAGATCCATGTATGGATGCATTTATGGTCCTAAGGGTCCCATGACCATCGGAAACCCGGATAAATGGCTGTAAGGAACTCTGAAGACCATTAAAGTTTGGGCATGTGGTGAAGGAGAAGAGTGCAGCGGCGGACCGGTTGCTTCAGAATAATTAACAACTTCGTTTTGAGTTAAGCCATTTAAAACAAATCTTCTTATTAAGCAACGTGAGGCAGTCCATTTTTAATTAAAAAATAAATATAGAGAGTCTATCATCTTTCCTCCTGCCCGAGATCTCCACCCATTCCCATTTTGCAACTTTCTCCAATTGGATAACCCTAATTTCAAATCCTTTTTCCTTTAACCCACCCAACCGATCCCAGGCTACCACCAAATGCTCCACTCCTCCACCTGTCTCCTCTCTATAACCACCAATCGGTTCAGTTCTCTCCAGTCTACGCCACCACTTAATCCCGTAATTTTTTAATTTAATTTTTTTAATTTATTCTAAATTAATCATATAAAATGTTAAAATATTATGGGTATTGGATGAAAAGTTTAAATTCATAAGTGATTATAGTTTTTGTTGATTTGTTATGTTTTAAATTGATAGTTGATATCAAAGACAAATTTAGTCTTTGTAATTTGTAACGTTGTTTGTATAAAGACTATGAATGGAAAATTGGTAGTTTATTGGTTAATTTTTCAAAGGTATTTTCATGTAATTTATTTGAAACTTTTATATTAAGATCATCCTATATTAGAATCCTGAATCCGTCATTGCCTATATATCACCAAATTTCATACGTTTTCACTTAGTATGAGAATTATCATAACCAAACAGCCCATTGAATCTTTCCTAAACTCGCTGTCACAATAGAATATGGGATCGATCATTGAATTCTTTATGGCCGTCGTTTTTGAATTTAAGCTTGGGAGTAGCTAGTTTGAGTAGGTGATCGCCAATCACCGGTGTCATTTCCCGAAGAATTGGCAACTGCGGCTGCTGAAAATATGAGAAGACATTTCCATGACCTATGAAATTTATATATGGTTTTGCGGCTTGCCATCTCTCCAGGCCGTCATGCAAAGGTGGCAATTGTCTTGCTCTGAAATCGACATTAACGATCCTCGTTCATGGATTTAATTCAACATGTATATTTTGAGTGCAATTTGCATTGTTTTTCAATCGCAACCAAATATTAACGAAGTTAGATTTTCTTTCCTCCTTTCTCTCTCAATTTCAATTTTTTATTTTTCTCTTAACAGAAAAGGTGATAATGTTGCTTGATCTTAAGCGTTCAAATAGAATAAGAGAGAAAGGAGTGAAAAATAAGACGGGAGAGAATCTAGATCAAATACTAAAAGCATGTGGAATAGTATGCACGGAGGATTCAGATCATTGAAGACTCTCCTCAAGTTCTTTTTCCCAACATACATCAAGTGCCAATTTAATGCATTTAGTGCAAAGAGTTTTATTTGAAAATTTAACAAATTTGATTTCTGCTAGTTGGTGACCCAAACACATAAGTATGATTAAATAGCATTGTCCTGGTCACTATTTATCGGCTTTTCAAATAGTGGTGCGAGACTTCTATTTTTATTTCTTAGGCGTGAGCAGGAGAATTTTGTTTTTAATATAAGTACATGAGTTTCGTTTCTAATATAAGCGCAAGAGCTTTATTTTAAATAGAATACGAGAGTTGCCTTTCTAGTATGAGAACGAGAATTTTTTTTTTGATATAAGCACAAGAGTTTCGCTCTTGACAGGAATACGAGAGTTGCGTTTCAAATATAAGCAAGGAAGTTTCATTGCTAACATGAGCACGAGAGTTTCGTTCCTAATATAAGGACGAGAGTTGCGTTCCTAATATGAGCACGAGAGTTTCGTTCCTAATATAAATACGAGAATTTCGTTCCTAATATAAACACGAGAGTTTCATTCCTAATATAAACACGAGAGTTTCGTTCCTAATATGAGCATGCGAGTTTCGTTTCTAATATGGACACGAGAATTTCATTTCTAACATGAGTACGAGAGTTTCGTTCCTAACATGAGCACACGAGTTTCATTCCTAATATTAACACGAGAGTTTCAATCCTAACATGAGCACGTGAGTTTCGTTCTTAATATAAGCAAGAATGTAATCTATATAAGTACGAGAGTTTCACTCCTAATATAATCATATGAATTTTATTTTCCAGACATGAGTACGAGAATTTCATTCCTAGTATAAGCATGACAGTTTTATTTTCTAGACATAAGTACGAGAATTGTGTTCCTAATATAACCAATGAGCACCAGAGTTTCATTCTTCAAACCAAACAAACCCCATCATTTACACTGTCCTATAAACACAATTTCTAGTGTTAGATACATGATATTATATTAAATATACCAAGGGACAAGTAAACCCTTAAAGAAAAAAAGCTTTGTTAACCTACACAAAGAAGCTAATTTTAACTTATCCAATTGTAGAGAGGTCACATTCATAATGGGTATAGCTAATAGCAATCATCATAAAAATAGTAAAAAGATAACGTGCAATAATTAGTACTGATTGAATCGATAGAATTAAGTAGAAAGATGATCCAATGAATTGTTGCATATGCAAACTTACCACCTTTGTTGTTCTATTTTGTTTTTCTTTCTGTCATTCGCATGTCTTGATTTGACCTTAAAACAAAGTGTAAATCCAAAGCTAAGTTCGACCCAATTAATTAAAAAACCAATAATATACTTGAGTCAAGTGGGCAAACAAATTAACAATCAAAAGAATGGTGGCGACTGGAAATCGGCCAAGCGACAAAAAGTGACGGGAAGGAACAAGACAATGCCAATTGTACCCAGTTTTGAAAACCCATTCGCTTACTTGCCAAAGAATAAGAATCTAGATACGGTGGGAATGCATGGAAACATAAGTAGGTAAAGGACACCCACAAAACTCTGCTGGCCTCTCCTTCATTCCAGCCGTTATATAAGTTTGTGATTTCTCACAGAGAAAATCACACTGAGACGGTCATGTGAATCAAGTCACAAGGAAAGCTAATGCAAAATTTTAGCATGCTGCTGAAAACAAGATCATCGAGAAAATTCATAGTTGTCCATATTAGAAGTAACATTCAAACAAAGTGTACGGAGTGAACTAGCTAAGAAAAAAAAATATGTAGGTCATATTGCAGATAAAATTATCTTTTTGATCTCAAACAATTGTCATGTAATGTGCACACGACCAAGATGGTACGTTAAGGAGAAATTGACTAATTATAAAGGTACATGAGAGTAATTGGCTAAAATTCAACTTCATGAATAAAATGGGCAGCTCTTTACAAGTTTAGAGAGAAAATCAACAACTACCTCTTTAGTAAATGTGGCGTAAATAACATCACTCTAAGGAAATATAATTTTTGCGCTCCTTTTTTCTTTTTGTTGTTTCTCTAGTAACTGGATCAATTACATTAAGAAAAAGTAATGAATTTAAACAAAAAAAACAATGGTGCAAAAAAAGAAAAAGAAAAAAGAAAAAGGAAAACGTGAAGATCACTATTTACATGCGGGGAGTTTGAATCAAGGTTTTAAAAAACACTGGACGCTAGTCGGACAGCAGGTTGGGCCTTAACGCTTAGGTGGCTTCGTGTAAATAAGTGTCAATTTATATTTAAAATATATATAATTTCATCATAAGCTACAAAATAAAATAACATATATATTATGAAGTATTGAAACATAATGAAACTATAGAAAACAAGCATTTAAGGTATATTCATTTAAGTATTCAACAAGTCTCTTACAATTTATTAAAAAAATAAAATGCAAAATAAAAGTTATTTATTTTTTGTCTAAGTAAGTCGCAACCTAGGTGGTTGTTTGGGCGGGTCCGGGCAGGCTAGACGGGTGCCTAGGCGGGCACCTCAACAGATTTAGGTGCTCTTTCTTAATTTTCAAGCACCTAGGCATTAATCGGGACGATGATCAACCTCCTAACGTCTAGACAGAAGCTATGCGAGGATTTTTAGAACAAATGTTTGAATAGAAGGAAAAATGTCTCCAGGCCAGTTCACAAGTTGTTTGCAGAATCCCAGCCTGCCCCACTCTCCTCCCTCTCTCAATGTTCATAGTTTCAAATTATATTCTTTTTTTATTTTTTGAAATTCTATTTTTTAGTAAATAATTTTTTGAATTGTCTCAAATAGACCCTGAAACCTTAATAAAGGCAGCTTGTCTTCCACATCGTCCTCAAGTGCCAATCCCGTTCCCTCTAGTTTCTCTCTCTACACCTTTTGTTTCTGGTGGGTCCCGGTCCCTCCCAGCCTGCAAAGCAAACCCCAAAAGACTTGGCCTCTCATTATTAAATCTTCCCCAACCAGCAACACTCCCTCACTCTCATCTCAACCCATCTCCTCTTTCTCTACCTCTTTCTCTCTCTACCCTCGTCCATTTATACGCACCGTTTTGGCTCTCCAGTCCCTATGAATCACTCCCAGGACGATCCCGAGTTCCATCTCCCCTCCCACTTCCTCACGGACGACGTCGTGCTCCACTGCAACATGGGCGACAGCAACAAAGACCACAGCTTCCGCCGGAACTGCGTCGAATCCCGCGTCAGCTTCCCCACCGAGTTCCCCTACGAGTTCGACTCGTCCGACTCCTACTCGGCCCTGAACTCCCCTGTCGAGTCCGTGGTGAGCTCCACCGAGACCGAGGGAGGCAGCAGCAGCAGCGACGAGGAGGACTTCCTCGCCGGGCTTACCCGCCGCCTCGCACAGTCCTCGCTGCAGCCTGCTCACCAGACCCAGAAACTATCCGTCCCCGCCGCCTTCCCCAAAGAGAACCCCGAGGTAAAGATTTCAGCTTCACAAAATCAGATTTTTACAGTTTAACTGTTCCTCTTCCTGTTTAAAATTTTGGGTTTCTGAAATACTGACCGAGTTTTACTGTGTTGACTCAGTGGGTCATGTCCGGGTCTCCCCAGTCGACTCTGAGCGGAATCGGGAGCTGGTCCAGCAACGGAAGCCCGACGGGCCCGTCTTCCCAGGTGCCTTCGCCACCGACGACGCCGTTTGGAGCTCAGAACGACATCTGGGAGCTGATATACGCGGCAGCCGGGCAGGTTGCGCGGTTAAAAATGACCAACAGCCTCGGCGGAGCAACCGAGTTCGGCGGCAACCACGGCCGCGGTGGACTTCTGGGCCCACCTCGGATCCCCAGTCCTCCCCGACACTCAGGCCCCGGGCTCTGCTCGAACCAAAGCTTCACTCAGGTGAAAGTCCTAAAACCCATTTCATTTCGAGCAAACCTGCTTTTTGATGTGCTAGTGTTGTGATCTGACGAAGGGTGTTTTCGGTGTTTTGCAGTTTCACCATGTGAGGCAGGACAAGCAAGTAAATCATCTTCCATGGTCAGCTCAGCCACATCAACCAGCTCAGCTCCACCCCCAGCACAACCACCAGCAGCAGATCCAAAACAGAGGAAGAAACATTGTTGGGTACGAGAGATGCGAGCATGGTGTTAATTTTCCCCAATCGACATGGCCGCCGCTTCAAGTCCAACACAACCACCACCACCACCACCACCATCACCAACACCCCCACCACCAACAAAGTCAGCAACCTCAGCGCCACACTAACGCCGCCGTGCGTCCCGTTTTGCCCAACGGTTCTAATATCAAGAGGGAATGTGCTGGCACCGGCGTTTTCTTGCCTCGCAGATACACCAACCCTTCCCCTCCTGAACCTCGCAAGAAAGCAGGTGCATTTGTATTTTCGAATTTCGACCACTTGGGCCCGTTTTCTGAATCTCAACACTTGTGTCATTTTATTTAACATGTTCTGTTTGATTTTGTTACCATTTAGGTTGTTCAACTGTTCTAATGCCGGCCAAGGTTGTTCAGGCTCTGAACCTGAGCTTCGAAGACATGAACCGCCACGCTCCGCCGCGTTTCACCACCGGTTTGGCTCCAGACCATGGTAATTAAAGTTCATAGTTCAAACTTTCTACTTGTGGAAACCTTGTGTTTCAGATCTGTTACTCTGTTTATGTTGGTTCCTAATAATTTCTTTCTGCAATTGGATTCTGCAGAGGCACTGGCGGCAAGAAGAAACGCGCTGTTGACTCAGCAAAGGCTTGGACTAAGGACAGCGGCAGAGGGGCCAGTAAATCACGAAGTGCGCCTCCCTCAGGAGTGGACCTACTGATTTAGTTTCACATCCAAAGGGCAAAACAGGCAAAAAAGCAAGAAGATTATATACAAATTAGGGTTTTCTGATTAGGGTTTTATGAAGAAGAAGATATTATGTGTTTTTTTTATATTTAATTAAGGAGATTCAAGAATGTGAGATTAGATTTTGGAGCAATAAGAAAGATATCCAGGTTTTTTTTTGGGAAGGCAGCTGCTGCTGCTGCTGCTGCTGCTGCTTCTTTGGGGAGTTAGCTTTTAGGTCAAGGAAGAAGATAAATTACTAGGAAGAATGTGTTCTTTTGTGTTGTAATAATTTTGGGTTAATTAATTTGTTCCAAATCCAAGGTTTAAATCTGGATTAGGGTAATTTAATCTCTGGCTTGTAATATCATCTCTCCTCTTGGGATGTAAGATTCTAAGAAGTAATAAGAAGGAAAGCTCTTAGTTTGCCGTCGACTTCTGTTTATTCTTTTGGATTCCGTGGTGGTTTGTTTAATTGTGATTAAGGGATTTGTTTAGTGGCTCTATTAGGTTAAATCAGTCAGTCAAAGCTAAAAGACTTGGTTCTTAACCACTTAGACAAATTACGGGATTTACAGTTGTTTTCTTAAAAGCAACACTAAGCAGAACATGATTGGGCCCCGCGTAAAGCTGTACTGTGGTTGGTTACAGTTGTAGCTAATTAAATTAATATTTCTTTACAACCCTAGTGCAGTAGAAGTACAGTTTGCGACAGGAAGAGATTTTTCACCCTATTGTTTAGACCTGACGGACACGATTAGTTAATTCAACACGAAACAAGTTTCAACTTAATTCTTGACAATTCAGGTCGTTGTTCGGTCCTTCGTTATTGATTTCGTTATCGAGTTGGGTGGTTCACTTGTAACGAGCCTTATAAGACATATTTTTCAAATCATTATGCATGATAATTTCTTAGATAACCTATTAATCAAACATGATAACACGACCTGTTAACAAATCTATTGGATCAACTGATAAAAACCTATCAAGATAACGAATTTGATGTGACACGACTCTTTAAGATAATGGATATGATACAAAAAAGGACATGAATACGGCAAACACGACCGATTTACTAGCTTACTTTTTTTGTACAAAGCTTTATTTATAACTTTATTAGATTCAAACTATTTTTAAGTGATGGTGATGTTGACCGTTGTATATCAACGTTAAGTAAATTTAATTTTTGAAATCTGATTAGTTAAACACATGATATGTGCCTGCCATTCTGCCATAAATATTCCAAGTCAAATATCCACGGAGTTGTGTTTTTTGCTTCATCGTGAAGGTTTGAATTTTTTGCGTACGTTCTTATCCTCAGTTTTGATTTTCTTGGACCCACACTATTTCTCTGCTTTTCTCACTCTCCTCCTCCTTCCTCTTTAACATTTTCCACTCCATGTTTGTTGGTAAATTAACACAAAACTTACATGTAGTTGGAAATTTATGCGGTATTTCAAGTCGATAACGTATTATTTTGTGCTTTAATTAGTTTACATATTATTATACGATTTGTTCAGAAATCATTTTGGTGTTCGGGTTGCATGCATATTCTTTTGTTATGACGATTTAAATGGAGTAGATATTATTTTTTTGGTTATATTTATGTTATTAGACTGTAAATTAGTGTCATACTAAGGGTGGGTATGGGTCGGGCCCAAATTTACAGGAACTGGACCGTACCTGTTGTAAATAGTAACGAGGTGTGTTGAGCCGGGTAATGGAATTTCTAAGTTAGGAATCGGACGGTACCAGGCTCATTTAAAATGGGCTGTTACGGGCCGGGTCCACGTGTCCCCGTCTCTCTTGTTCATCTTTCCCAATCCCAAATCAAGGTCTCTGTCTCTCGACTCTAATCGATGATGGCATGATGACACGATGGCACGAGATTGTCAAACACCATTAGATGCTTTAAAGTATAAACTCCACAACAGATTCAGAAAAAAACCCCCATCTCGAGGTGGTGTTTGACAATCTCGAGGGCATGGTCTTCGTCCCCTTTGCTTGGGACTGTAGAGTTTACAATCTCGATTTCAATTTGGAAGAAGATGAGATGGTGATGAATTTCGATTTTGATTGAAGAGTTGGAGGGAGAAGAGAACGAGTTCTAGGTAGTGCCGTCGACGAGGAGATAACGCATGAACCAGAGATCTCGATGTGGGTGATAGGGTGGTGGTCGTCGCTACGGCGGTGATGGGATGATGATGGATCAGTGGTCTGGGACCCTGGGTTTTCGATGATATCATCGAGGGAGATAGAGATGAGTAGGAAAGATGAGATGAGTGTCGGTATTGTGGGCCTCGAGAGGGAGGGAGACTAGGAGGAGGACAATTAAGAGGATAGGTCATCGTGGTGGTCGCCAGATTCACGACGGCGGTGATGTTTTGGGTGGTGGAGAAGATGATTGACGAAGACGGAAAGTGTGGGTGGAAGGGAGGAGATGCAAGAGAGAGTCAGGTTTGATTGAGACCTGGGGTAAAACCAACGATTAAGATTGGATGATATTGTACTCGTCAATCTCGTCCATCCATTACAATTACAAACGGGCCGATCCAAGTACCCTTTTTTCTATACATCTGGAAGTGGCCTGCCCCACCCCGCCCCATTTCTTTTATTAAAAAATTGGAACCAACTCGTACCCGCCTCGAACCTTGGTTACTCGCCTCTACCCGCGGTTCCTATACCCATTTGCCCACCCCTATGTCATACACTGTCATATTCAACAAACAATAAAAAATGATTAATGATTAAAATTCTTAAACTAACATCATAAATATCTTATACTGCTACAGAGGAGAAGAATTTGTCCAGTCAGAAGGAAGGACCTGACTTCTTTGCCCTCCTAGTTCCCATACACTCTCATCCTCTCATATTTTGTGCGGTCACAGTTAAGCCACGTCAACATTATATATATATATATATATATTTTTTTTTTATAGAGATAATAAGACAAAAAGTAACAATGATATAAAATGTTGACGTTGCTTAACCGTAACCGTACAAATAGGAGATGATGAGAATGCATGAGAATTGAGAAGGCAGAGAAGCCGGGTCCCAGAAGGAATGAGGATATGTCAATGATCGTATAACGATATATAGATCACAACCAAACATAATGAGTTGTACGACAATATAATATTTTGCACTAGTATATATTATAAACATTATGGTTATATTTTCACTTGTTCATAATAATCACCCTCGTGTTTGCACAGTTTGAGTTAGACAAAGCCTGCCCCTCAAATAATAAACAAACTATTGTCATGCCCATACCTTGTTTTACAAGATCCAATGCACCTCCTTTTCCTTTTTAACGTAATTTTTTGTTGATTAAAACAGTGAAAGGGATTACTTATTCTTTCTTTAGCTTTGACCTAACGTATCATTAAACGAAAACAAAAGGCTATAATTTAGGTAACCAACTCTTTTACATGTCCCAGGTCGACAAAACGACGATCTTTATTTCACATCAGATTCATTTGTATTATAGTCTTATCCGATTTTTATGAGCATCTTACTGAGTGTTAAAGACTCTCTAATCAGATAACTCCGCGGAATATCTTATCAAGAGTGAGACGTTATGTATTTGTATAATTGACCTTGGTGTTCCTACACAATCGAAAGAAATTGTGAAACTTGCAAAATTTTCAGAATGTAACTGAAATTTTTTTCATAATGTAACTGAAACACCGACACATATTTACCCTATTGACAAATTATTCATGCATAAATAAAGCTAAACATAAGTAGTAAGATGTCATAAATCAGAGAGTACTTCTTAGAAGGTCATAAATCAGAGGGTACTTCGTAGAGGGAAGACCTTGGTGTGCTCTCAAAGAAAGCCTTGATTTGCTCTCAAAGAAAAAAAGAAAAGAAATTAATTTCCTGTTTTTGTCCAGCAACCAACCAACCCGATCGAGCAACATGTGATCTGGGCCATATCCAGCCGTCAATCACGTTGTGATGGGTCCAACTTTGGGCCTGATCAGCGCCTGGATTTGCTTATACTTTAATATCCGTTGATGGCACTTTTGATTAACGACATCCAATGACATTCATTCGGTTGCTTCAAACACACACACACCCTTGCTTTATGACAATCTTTAGAACTTTTTAATACATACGCTCTCTAATTCAATGATCTTTAGTGACAATCTCAAATCAGACTAAAAATCATGAAACAATGTTTATATTGATATTGAATAATGATTCGAGTGATGAGCAACCGATAAGGATGGCAGTTGTGAGAGGTAGATGCACACTGAGACTTAGGTGATCTTAGAATTACTGGAGTTCAGAAAATATATATGCGGGTATTTTGAGGACACTCCGAATATTTTGTGTGGGTTCTTTTATACTTATCAAGTGTTTGATGTAATATCTGCTAAGCCTATCTCGACAAGTTGCATGGACAACACTTGACATTCTCTCGATGTCACTCATCAAGTGTTCGACGAAATGTCTTAGTGAATAAACTAAAATTATTTTTGTGCGCTTCGCGCTCTATTTCTATTTTAAATACTTGAACCTTTAACACTAGGACAATTCAAGATTCAAATCCTGAATTCACCACTGGCAGTTGCTTTGATTTGCAATAATATATAGACATAGGGATGGAGATAATGGAAGTTGATGCTTATACTTGATATTCATTCACGTTGAGGCCGTCTTATTATGTTCTTCACCATTATAAGTGGCGTGCTACTTGCTAATCATGTTTCTGGTTATTTGCTTTATATTTTATTATGCAAAGGAAAAGGGGAAAAAGTTGGCTTCAAATAAAATTTTCAAATTCAAGCTCAAATGCTAAGGGGTGCCTTAATAATCATTTTAGTTTTTATTTTATATTTAAATAAATTATATTTTACCACCTCAACTTTGGGTTACATTATAAACTCTCTTTTGAGCATTGTAATGTTGTACATCAACATACGAATTCGTTTAAATGATAAACCTCCATTCATCAATCCTTCAAGTTTAACCTAGTATGCCTCTTTTGCATAGTTGACCTCTCGCCTCACCTGAACAAACATGCAAACGCTATGCTTCCCCTCACCAAAAATCAAGCATCCATCCGTAATCCCACACCCCGAAATCAAAATAAAATCAAATCCAAATTCACTGGAAAGAGCCGCCACGAAACCACTTCAAGTTGTTGAAATTAAATATAATCATATCTTGTTCATCAAATTAGAGGAGTAAGAGTAATGATAGATAGAATAAATTTTCAACCAAATTTGCAAATGATATGATATATCACCAATAAGAAATAAATACGTTAATCAATACTTAAGTAATAATTCAATCATTAATAACCATGTTATATGGTTTACAAAATTTAATCTCTCTAGCATTACCCGATGAGTAAATATCTAGTTGATAGTAGGAATCCAGATCAAACCAACATTCAAATTTTTATATTAAAAAAAAAATGGAGGTAGGATTTTTTTTCTTCTATAAATTGGGGATTAGGGTTGTTCGAGAGGGTTGTGTCGACCAACTCATGGTCATAAGGGGTCTAGGAGATGTCGACTAGCTCGAGGATTTTAAGGGGAAGAGATATGGTCTGGATCTCTCCCATCAAAAGCCTAGGATCAAGTGATCTGGGTCATTGGTCCGAATCTCTCCCATCAAAAGTTCAGGATCAAGTGATCCTGATCGTTGAAATTTGATCAAAATGCTACAAACAGGAGCCCCTATAAAAGTTATAATAATTGTAGTCGTTAGATTAAATTTCAACGGTCCGGATCACTTGATCCTGGGCCTTTGATGGGAGAGATCCGGACCGGATCTCTTCCCGATTTTGAGGACGGAAAGGGTCTAGGAGACGTTGGAAACGACGCGTTGCATGGCATCCAGGACTTTGAGGTCGGAGGACTGGGGCATCTGGTTGAGGATGGGCTTTTGGTCGGATGGATGGGCGTCAATACCGACTTTGCAGAGGTCGGGACAAGTGCTTTGTAAACTAGCTTGTAACCTAGTAGCACCAAAGCAGGTCTGTTGTATTTTCCTGGGATGCTTTTCGGTGTGTATAGGCCCAATGGTCTAGGATTTTTGGGTTCGTTATGTTGGTTGTAGGGCCTCCCAAAGAAACAGCAATGTCGACATAAAAAGAAAAGAAATAGCAGTGGTTTCTTGGACCCGGTACGTTCAATTCATAAGCGCAAATAACCATTATATGATAAAACTTTTTAGAATTTTGGATAATTATTTTTGCAACGATGAATCTTTGAATGAGGACCTAAAATATATAAATGCTTCTGTAGAAAGCACCAAAAACTGCTTTTGGTTATCCGAAAACGCTTCTAACCATATCAGAAGCAATTCCAAACATGCATGCCTTCATTTCAAGTCAACCCTAATATGATAGAAACGAACACCAGAATTAAACACATTTCTACAAGCAGAAATATTACCAATAAGGGTCAAATGGCCAAGGAGGCAACACATATGGAATCAAAGTCACAAGAAAAAACAGATGGTTCTAATTCTGCAGAATTAAACACATAACAGACTTCCATCGAACTACATCGCGTAATTGACAGCTTATTTACTTAGTCTATAGGATCAGCATTTCTGTTGAGTTTTTTGCAGTATGTTAGGGATCACTTCCATTTCTTGAACTTGCCTCCACCGTGCTTGCCGAACTTGCCTTTCTTATGCTTCCCGAATTTCCCCTGCTTGCCATGCTTCCCATGCTTCCCGCCATGTGATGCAAAGCCGTGACCAACATTGTGAGCACCGTAACCGCCAGGGAGAATACCGTGAGAACCTTGGCCATGGTGACCACCTTGAGTGAGATGGTGAGCACCGACAGCAGCTGCAGCAGCGACCGCACCACCAGCCAGCAACGCCCCTGCACCATGGTGTCCTGAAGAGATAGAATAGCACAAGTCAGAATCAAACTTACAGATTAAGATATTTAAAGAAGCTTTATTATCCATTTTAAACACTATCAGAAGCACTAATTGAACTACAAAACTTTGAGAGTAGAGGGAAAAGCACAACCTAAGCAAACTTTAAATCCGAGCCCTAATCAGTTGATAATCACAAGGCCTAAGTAATCATGAGAGGAGACAAGGCACAAGACTATGAGCATTTCATATGATCAGATGGACATTTACGCACTAAGATCATTCCGACCTTGGAAGTTCCAGGAACTTAAGACTCGATTGTAAAAAATGCACTATAAGAGCGCTGCCAATGAACTATTTAAGCACTACAAAGCTACTAATGCATTCAAAGATGCTAAACAAATGACTTTCAAATGACACATTTCAAGGTGTCATTTAAAGGTCTCTCCAATGTATTGCATATTTTTGTAGGGCATTCAACAAATTTAGCCTGAATTCCATAGAAATTTGAAGTCCTTCGTCCAAACGCACCATAAAGAAGAAAAATTCTTTGAAAATAAATATCTATGATCATATGCAGCAATATAATCAAAACAAAAATAAGGTCTAGGTTTCCACCCATGCGTCACAGGTTCAAAACTCTCCAGCTCGTAAGTCAATGCCAGAGTTTCGAACTCTTCCCATCTCCTCAATAATAACAATGAAAACAAAAATGGGGTAATTTGAACCTTTATTTATTTATTTATTTTTTTGCAGATCATAACATATTAAATTACAAATTAACAGAACGTGCATAATCATATTTTTAAGGTAACAAAATCAACAAAATATGTATTCAGCGAGGAAAGTAAATCAGACCCAAAATTGGGGTAATTAAATTCCGCCAGAAATTCACCGATTAATCCATCAATGCACATAAAAATGCATCCCCAACAACAACAAACCCTACATAAATTGGTCAACGCCAACCAATACAAATAGAGATCGGACACGAAATTGATAATTACCAGATGAGCCGTGATGGCCAGGCTGAGGATACCCAGCCGGTGGGTACCCCTGTTGAGGCGGGTAACCTTGGGGAGGATACCCTTGAGGAGGATAGCCACCCTGCTGGGGCGGGTACCCTTGCGGAGGATAGCCGCCCTGCTGCGGCGGGTACCCGTGCTGAGGCGGGTACGAACCTCCTCCGTGTGCAAGGTGGCTAAAAAGCCCCTTGTCTGCTTCGTCGTCGTGATGCTTGTCTTTCCCACCACCCATTTTTTATGTTCAGTTGAAACCCAAAAGATCAGAGAGGATATGAAGATGAAGAAATAAAAGATCTGAGATATGGAGGAGATGGATTGGGTTCTCCAGTTTTATACAGATTACGTTTTTGCTACATTAATGGGACGCGGTCTGTGCGCGCCTTCCTAGTGCCTAATAAGAATCAACTTCCCGATCGAACGCGGCAAAAAGCTACTCCACATGTCCAGGAAATTTTATTTAATTCCATCTAACCTCTTTTTACACCTAATTTAAATTTTAAATGTTAATTAACTATTTTACCATATTACATAATTACTATTAAGTACAAAATGAAATTAATAATAAAAATCAAATTTATCAATAGACCCACATACTATAATTAAATCCTAGCATCACCATTTGTTTATCTTACGTTCATTCCGACTAAAACCCTTATAGCTCTGATAGAGAAAAACAAGTTTTTCTATTGATGGATGATGATTTTGAAGTTTTTAATCCTTCAACTAAGGTATGACTCAATTTATAGATATTTTGTTTGTTTGCTACTTCTTTGGATTAAATTTCATACTTTTTATATTATATTGTATTTGTTTTTATCTGCCGTATGTATGCGCTCCAAAACACTAGTGCAAGGACTTTTGATTAGTACTGCAAAGACACAAAACTTGATTCTTGGTGCAAATAAAGATTGCTCAACGTTAACCACGAATTAGCGGGTGGCATGTCTTTCACCTTTTGTTATTCGAAATAGCTCTAATTTGTTTATTTGTTTATTAACATAGCATCTAAACACCCAGCCCTATGTCACTTCAAAGTTTCTTAAAAAGTACATGAAAATGCTTGATTTAAAAAGGACTGAACTGGAGCTTGCATAATATTCTCTTGGCAAATTCAAGTCTATGGAATGATCTATTGGATTCCAAGTCCATGGATGAGTTGTGGTAGCAGAAAGAAAAAAAGCAGCCATAGAAGTGTTAGTCCTATACGACATATGCAATTATAGACAGGCAAAGGAAGTCTCTTTGAAAAAAAAAAAAACATTCAGTTAGAGATATTATTTTATAAAGGGAATGAGTGTAAAAATAATTTTACATTTTGAATTGGGTTTGAATGGTTTGTTTAGTTAATAAATTTGGGTTTAAAGAGATATTAATTCTTTAATAATGGGTGAATAGAGTAAGTTGAGTGTGGAAAGAGGTTAGATGAGTTCAAATAAAATTTCCCTTTCTTTTAATTCCATCTTGCCAGCATTCTTGTTAATTTTATTATTATTAATTTCTTTCAATTTCATCGATTCGACTGTAAAAAATTAAAGAAAAAAGTGTGTGAAACAAAAATGAGTGTATAGATATTACTATTTTTTATTTGTATCCGGACACTCAATAATATTGTCCAAACACCTAGTTACAAAAATCATACTGAATTTGATTTTCACTAATTTTTTCTTTAAGTACCATACCATCAGTCATATGTATTATTTTGTATATTAAAAAATTACTTATTGATTTGCAAATAAATAACCCTTTGCAAGTGGCCTTTTACCGTAGTGGTGGAAAAGTGTTTAGTATTTGTATGATAGCGTCGGTTCAAACTTGTCGATAGTTAATCTAACATCTAATATAACAAAATCTATCGTTTAACCAAAAAAAAAAAAAAAAAAACTTCAAAGTTTAACTTGAATCTAACATTTTATTATTATATAATAAAATTGAAAAAAAAAATCATTTTTTAGGGTGTTATTATTAACACTGAAAATATCTCATGGTACTCAAAATTATTATATTTAGAACGAAAAAAAAATTACTCTTATAAAGAGTGCACAATGAGATTTTAAAGTGCTAACAAAAATAATTTTTTAAATATAGAACATTATTACATAATATTACATAATACTGCATCTTTCGCTCCCCCTAACGCCCTCTCTAGTAACGGAATGCAATAAAGATGTATTTATATTATTTTTCTTCTATTGTGGCTTATTTTAATCTGACAGGGGAGAGAGGGTCGACGACACAAAGAGAGAATAGAGAGAGATGTGTTTGTAAGGTTGTGTAGAGGATGCGTTATTCTCCCTACGCAATACCTTTATTTATAGTAATAAGGGAGGGAAGAATCATTCTCCTCCAAGGAATACAAGTCCTAATAGGTAAGAATAACTAGTATCAAACCTAACCTAGGATTTACACAGTGGGAAAAATGCTTATAATCATAGGGAAAAAGAGTACATTAAGATCAAGTAAGTATACTTCATGATACTCCTCATGAGTTTGACAGAATTTCAAAGAGAACTAACAATGTTAAAACTTAGAAAGTTACACATACCAATTCCTTGAACAACCTTCTGAAACGTTGCATTTGGTAGTGATTTGGTGAAGAGGTCAACCATATTGTCTTGTGAACGCATTTGCGTGAATTCAATCTTCTGATGCTCTTGCTGTTTATGTGAGAAGGAGAACTTCGGAATGTGCTTGGTGTTGTCTTATTTGATATAACCCTTCTTAAGCTGTTCAATGCATACTACGTTGTCTTCATAGATCGTTGTCGGGAAGTCAACGATGAGGTAAAGATCCCAGACGCTTTGAATATGGCCCACAACTGCTCTCAGCTAAAAGCATTCCCAAGTTGCTTCGTGTAAGGCGAGAATTTCAGCATGGTTAGACGAAGTGACAACTAAGGTCTATTTAGTTGACCTCAAAGAGCCTCCAATTATAAAGACATAACCCGTTTGAGAGCACGCCTTGTGCAGATCAGATAAGTATCAAGCATCGGCATAACCAAAAAGGCAAGAATCAACTCAAGACATAGGGGTGCAGCATCAATCAAGGATCCGTAGGGATAAAATAAGCCCAAGTCGATGGTACCCTCAAGGTAACAGAAGATGTTTTTAACACCAGTCCAGTGTCTGCGTGTCGGTGCATTACTGTATCTTTCCAAAAGATTTACAATGAAAGAGATATCAGGTCTAGTGCATTGAGCTAAGTACAATAAAACGCCTATCGCACTTAGATAAGAAACTTCAGGCTCTAAAATCTCTTCATCATCCTTATTCGGACAGAAGGGATCTCGTTTTACATCTAGCGATCGAACGACCATAAGAGTACTCGAAGGATTCACTTTATCCTCGTTAAAGCGGCGCAACACCTTTTGGGTGTAGTTTGATTGATGTACTAGGATTCCATCTGAACGGTGCTCTATCTCGAGATCAAGACAATATTGAGTCGAGTGATTGTAATTTTTTTTTACATTTTTTACACTTCTGCAATAATTATTATTAATTTTTCCCTCAAATAAAAAACATTATTCATGAGGGTTTGGAGGATTTTAAAAATCTAAACAATAATGTAAGTGTAACCATTATTTACTCGTGGATGAATAATGATGAATCACAGGTGTTTATATATTATTTCACATTTTTCATACTTGTATGTATGTCTTCTTAGTTCTTGCTATACAAATACTATACTAGTTTATTTTAATTTTGGACAACAACATGTTAAGTAAAATTTATCCTAGTAATGATAATAAGGAACTCTCATAATAAAAATAAATAATGACTAAAACGTTTTTTTTAACTTATATAGAATAATAATACAAAACTATATATTTAATATAGAATATATTGTATATATTAATATGACTATTGTATTTTATAATAAATCTTTTGGTAATTAAACTTTAAAATTATCAAAATAATTTTGTTCTTAACGGGTTGAAACGGGTTACCCACGTGCTTGATAAGCTCATATTTATATATATTTTACATCAAATTCACTTGTCTTTTCTTAGTTAGTTCATTATATTTTGAGCTAATTACTTTGTTTTTGTGTTTTCTAGGATTTGTCAAGCAAAGAAAAGAAAAATAACACAAGTGGGATTTTAAGTAACAAATTCGTCAAAACTGGCTGTGCAGGTCAGCTGACTTTGGAAGAAAGTTGTGAACAGCTCAAAATGAATTAGAGAATGACCTTATATGCTTGGAAAGCTACGGATGTCTATTTTCTGGAGCATTTCGCGGATTGTTAATATCATTTTTGTAGAAGAAGTTATGGCCGTTTTAACACTGAAAGGTTCACAAGAGACTGAGCAGTTTGTAACTGCAATGAAAGCAATAAACCTAATAAATCTAGCAGCCAAAACTGATGCAGCCAAGAACAAGCCAACTGACACCTATTCAAATATCAGAGGAAATGGAAATAAAGATGAGGATTAAGTGGGAGTAATTAGCATAAAGGCTACCCAAAGAGTTACAATTATTTTACCATTTCCTCTCACTTATTGCCATCACTAAATGGCTGTTAGTGGGTGAGTTAAGGAGAAAAAAATGGGGCAGCAAGTTAAAAAGGGGAAAGGCTGTAGGTTGTAGCGTTGGAAAAAGAAGAGAAAGGAAAAATAAAAAAATAGAAAAGAAAGAGGACTAGGCAGCTTTGGGGAAAGGAAGGAAAGGAAGAAGGAAATTGTAAGATCCCGTATTTAATGTGTATACATATGTACATATACGTATGTATTTATATGTATGTATTTATATGTACATGTACGTATGCATTTATATGTATGTATATATAATTAGTTTGTTTTGACTGACCCACCTGGCCACTTAGAAGCCAACACAAATATTTTGAATGAGATTGCCATCTCTTTTTGCGGTCTATGACTTAAGACCACGTGTACTCACCTGAATTAGTTGCTATCTTCTTTCTCCTCAGTGCCTACAACTAGCTTAACAGCTGTGGTTAGCCGCCAACTTCAACCAATAAGGGGCTTTGTAGTTTCCGTTTAGTAGCCTATAAATAGGAGATCAACTCCATTGTTTTCGAACACAAGCTAGCATGCAATGCATGCTTTGCAGCTCATGTGGTTGTGTTTGTATATATATATGTTGAGAGAGAGAGAGAGAGGAGATAAGAGAAGACAAATAGGAGGAAGGGATTAAGAAATCAAATAGAATCAGAGAGAAGGGTGCTGAATTATTCGTATTTATCTTCCTGCTTGGGATGTCAGCCTGCAACAGGGTAATGATTCGCAGCTCTCTTTGTTCTTTGCTTAGCTATTTTATGTAGTAAATCGTTGTCTTTCATGGTTGCTTTTAGGCAGAAACTGCAAAACAAGTTTTATATGCAAGGGTTTTATATAATGCTGCCTATTTGATGCAAAACTATTCTATATAACGTATACCTATTTTTACAACTACAGCCTTTTGGTTTCAAGTATGGTA